ATGACTTCTCGGTTGCAAAAATAGTGGTGGTGGCAATGAATTTTGAGAGATGAAAATATGGAAAACCCTAAAAAAAATCACAATTTTTTGAAAAAATAATAATTTTTTAATGCCAATCAATTACTATCTTTTTTTAAAAGAAGACCAAATGAATTAACATTTTAAGAATTCGAAAACTCTGAAAGTTAAAATAACAAATATATAAGAATATACGAATTTAAATATTGTTTGCAAGTGACATTAGCTGAATTTAAGCAACAAAATGATAGCCCAAAAGAATTAATTATTTTCTATTTTCCACTAAAAATCCCAAACAATAGAATTGTTTTTTCCTTCACAACTCAAAAGAATTATTTAGGGGTCGTTCTCTTTGCCTTTTTCAAGTCGTTTTCTGTTTTCGATTTTTCAAAACACTAAAAACGCGTTCTCTTTTCTATTTTCGAAAACGTATTTTTGAAAAAAAAAATTGTACATAAAACGAAAAATGTCAGTTTGGTCATTTTGAGTGTTTTCGAGCCAAAAATTCGAAAACGTTGAAAAAGCGAAAAACGCCATATCAAAACTGAAAATTGGAATAATCAGCAGAAACAACCTCGCCTCATCATCGGATTCCACCACCAACAACCTTGCCTCACTCCCCCTCTTTCACCTCCAACCCTCCAATGTTCGAATTTCTTCCCGGAAGAATGACAGTCACGAAGTCCGCGCAACAGGGTCCGAGTTTTGCTAGTTTCGACGCCGTCCGACCGTCCCACGATCGTGGACCACATGGGTTAGCCTCCTCTCCACCTGGTGCACCTTGCCCAACCATGGGTCAAGGCCAATTTTACATAAAGGTTTCGCTTCTTTATATCTGTTTGTTTGCTAACGGCTATCCCTGCGTGAAGGTTTACTGGTTTGTTCCTGTATAAACAAAATTAATTGGGTGGATACTGAATGCAACTATTTATTTTTTGGTACTGCACTATTTAATTGGTAGATTAAAAGTCGTTTCTCGCTATTGTTAATTGCTAGTTCAAGAATTTAACCTCGGTGCCTTCATGGGGATCTCAAGATTTTGAATTTTATAGAGATATACAACATGGTTCTGCATATGGGGGCCCAAATTCTTCAGGAAAAGACAATTTTACCACGGGCTTATTTGCTGCTTTTTAATTGTGTATTTTGTTCTGCCTGCTGTTTGGATTAATATTTTGTAATTGTACAAGAAGAGATTGACTGCCTTTAGAATTCATTTCTTTACGCTTGCGGTTGTGATCTTGAAAGCCTTCAATTTGCTGTGTGAGGTGGAGGATAAGTCTTATATTAAGCGAACTGGATCTGCTCATGGCTGGGATGTGTTATTTTACATATTTAGCTTCTTGAAGTGGATTGCTTTGTTCACTTTGATTGTGTTGATTGGGACTGGATGGTCGATCTTGAAGCCATATTTGCAAGATAAATAAAAGAAGGTTTTGATTATTGTGATCCCACTTCAGGTGATTGCCAATATAGCTCAAGTTGTGATTGATGAGACTGGATCATATGGTCAAGATTGGATGACATGGAAACATGTGTTCTTGCTTGTTGATGTTGTTTGCTGTTGTGCGGTGCTTTTCCCGAGTGTTTGGTCTATCAAGAACTTGGGGGAAGCAGTAAGGACCGATGAAAAAGCTGTAGTGAACTTGATGAAGTTGACTTTGTTTAGACACTACTACATTGTGGTGATATACTACATTTACTGTGGTGGCAGGGGAGTTGGCTACACTGGCATTTTATGTGTTCACAGGGTACAAATTTAAGTCGGAGGCACACAATCCATATTTCGTGATTGATGATGAAGAGGAGGAGGCTGCAACCGAGCAATTGAAGTTGGAATATGAGTTTGAACTGTAAGCTGCCTATGTTTTATAGAGATAAAATATGGTTTATAGTGCTATAAATCAGAAGTGTAGCAATAATTATTTATTTCTGTTTGGCACATGTTTGTGTGCACGTGTATTTCTGCATTTTAGACTTTAGGAGTGAAATGCTTGTTCTTCTTTTCCCATAATATGCTAGGGCGTGTACTACAATTTTTACTTGTAGAAATCCAAATCCATCGTATTCAAGTTATCTAGTAAAGAGAAATGTTTACTCCCTGCTAGTTAATTCTTGTCACAAGTTATGTACAAGGACAAAAATAGGGATTTGTCAAATTTAATTTAATGTGTTTTTTATATCTGGAAACAAATACTTCAAAATTCACCAATTTCAAAATTTATATGTTATTTAATATTATATTAACATTAAAC